CTGACATGGAAGGTTTTTACGATGCCTTTGTTTATTTTATGTATTTATTCTTTTTTTAACCAATTTTTTTTTTACTAATTTTATTTATTTAGTCACGTGGTTACATTTGCAACAAATGCTCTTGGTTAAATGCTTCATTAGCATCACAGAAAATAATTTAGTTAAATAACTAATACTTTTGTTCATAAAAAAAACAAACAAAAAACGTGTGCTGATAGTAGCTTACAATATTTTTACATGATTTTCTTTGGTTGTAAGCAACACAGACACTGTTGATAGCACTTGTTTTGAATCTGAAACATTTCACTGATTTAACAGCGAAATGTTTCAAGCTGCAAATGAATGCCCCAGTTGTATCATCTGCTGATCAAGCGCCAGAACGAGACAGAAACTCACCGTGTGAGCAGGGAAGAACCCGCAGCTTGTCGCCCTCCTCATACTCATCCAAACAAATGGCACACACATCGTACGAATCACCTGGGAGGAACGAAGAAATAATTAACTGTACAGGTATATAAATGACAGTTTTACCTCATTTTACATCAGTGTCTTTGATAGAAGGCTTTCTGATTTTCACACTTGCAGCACTTGATTGATAAGCGTGCAGCTTCTGGGTTTCGGGGAAGAAGGAAAGCATTCCAGGCTCAATAAGTCCAGGAATTAGTCCTGCCCTCCCTTTAAATTCCTTTCCACCAATGAAGGAGCCGCTCCGCTGATGCTCGGTGTTTATATAAGCGGTAAACGAACACAAACGGCCGTGGCTGCATGTGACCGTACAAGGAGAAGCTCGTATCTGTCACTGCAGGATGCCTCCGACTCAATGTTTGGTTGAAGAGTTCACAGAGACGGCAGGTCTGGTCGTTTGCAACAGAAACAACTCGACTCTTTATGAAGCCAATGACCTTTTGGACCAAATTCTTCATTCGTTCTGAACTGGTGATATTTATGGTTTAAGGAAAAGCCTGTATCTACTGGGTTACATGTTCGGAAGGCACTTCATAATATAGTTTACCATTACCATGTTTAAACTGCTATCCAATATTAGTAATATATTTGCGCTGATTTCTTTGGCAATAGAAAACGAACCAAAATTGTATCATGTTTTTTCTTCTTCAGATTTGACTATAATCATCGTTTTTCCCTCACGATCAAGTATCCTCAAGATCACATCAAGTAGACTAGCGATTCGCAATGATCGTAGTAGACGTATCCAATATTCATGATATAATTGCACAAATTCTTTGGCAATAGAATATTAACCAACATTGTATGATAAGCTTTATTTATTTGTTTGTTGAGATTTTACTATATTCGTTGTTTTTCCCCCCCGTGATTTAAGTTTCCTCAAGATCATGTCAAGAAGATTTTGACTTTGCAAATTCAGTAAATGTATCCAATTTTCATGATATATTTGCACAAATTTTTTTTTTGGCAATAGAAAATTAACCAAAATGGTTTCAATTTTTTAAACAATTGTATTATATGTTTTTCCCCCCACCATTAATTTTCCTCAAAATCACATCAAGTAGACTTGAAATAGTGATTCGCAAATGTTTTGATTTTGCAAATATTCATGATTTATTCGCACAGATTTTTTGGCAATAGAAAATGAATCAACATTGAGGGTATTGTTTTTTTGTTGTTGAGATTTTACTATGATTAGTTTTCCTCCCATTAAGTTCTCAAGATTACGTCAAGTAAGACTAATGATTTGTTTTTTAATTTGCAAATTCATTACACACATTCAATATTCGTAATATATTTGCAATGACCTTTTGGCAATAGAAAATAAACCAACATTGCAAGTATTATTTTTATTTTTTTTGTTTTTTTTTGAGATTTTACTATAAATAGTTTTTTTTTTTTAACCCACCATTAAGTTTCCTGAAGATCACTTCAAGTAGACTAGCATTTCACAAAGTTTTTTTGAATTTGCTAATTTGTTAGACATATCCGATATTCGAGATGTATTTGCAGTTTGCGCATCTGATTCACTTCAACCTGATTCACAGATTTATACGTCTGATTCATCAATTTGTCTGATTCATCAATTCAAATATGTATTATACAAATTTATATGAATGAAAATGAATATTTATTATTTAAATTACTTTTTTTAATTTGTGAAAGAATATGCAAAACATGTAATATTTTAAACTTGTTTTCAATGTTTAATACTGATATTAAAAATATCTTACCGTTTCATTTCTTAAGCATTTTGTATCTCTACTCAACAACATTGTTTATACGGAAAAAAATGTTTCCTCTAACTTATAAAAAAAATATATAATAACAAAGAATCTTTCAAACTAGTATTTTAATAAATTAGTGTTATAACTATTTTTATATGATATATCTCTCAAAGGTGATATATTGAAATGCTCTCCGTTACATAGAATAAATCAACAAGCTTTGAACGCGGCTCAGCCAATCAGAATCAAGGACCGGAACTCTCCGTTTTATAAATAGTATGAGACGTCTATATATAAGAGTTTAAATCTCAAGGTCTGAATCCCTGAGATGTTTTTATCAGCCTGCAGCGATGTTTTCTGGTGTGTGTCGTATAACGGCGGTGACAGCAGCTGTTTGTTCTGAGTCTGCGGACCAGCTCACTGTCCCCGCTGCTCAGTGAGGCAGACTGCAGCGGCCGGCAGAACAGATGAATCAGCACAGCGGCCGGATGAAGAAAACCAGTGAGTCAGCAGAGGCCATGAGCGGGAAGCAGAGCAGGTAAACATCAGGGTGAAACGCACACGTTTGCTGGACTGGGATTCAAAAGCCTCTGTAATGTCAATGCAGATGAAACAACTGCTTGTGTTAAATATGTTATGGGGTAAGATGTGTCAGTGGGTTAATCTAGCAAACGGCAGGTTTTCTAACATATATATATTTAGAAAGGACTCGCCGTATACATGCTTTGGAGTAAGTTGCACCATCAGCTCAAAAAAAAGGCTTTTCCTCTAAATGCCGATTTGCTAATATTCTGAAAATTAAAAATGTCCTGGCTGATTTATGAAAATGTAAATAATGTGCTGCAATTCATGCCGTATTTAGTATATTTACTGGGAATTTCCTTTCTGCAAAGAATGGGTGTATTTAAATACGCATAGGGTCCCTACTAGACAAACAGTGTGTGAACAGTAGTATGTCCGAATTCACAGGATGAGCTACTACTTATGCTGAGGTTCTTCAGTGCACATCTGACAGACACTTTACTACCCCATGAGGCCACAGCAGAGAATTTCACTGAAGCGATTAAAGTGAAAATGTCCAGTATACAACAGAGCCTACTGGACAGAATACTGTATCCCACAATGCAATGCACTTCAGTGATAAGGTCACGTGACAACTACTGATTGAAACAATTATCGTTGCAAAACGTGTACCGATGAATTGTAGGCTGTATGTAGTGTTGCACAGTATTTAGTAAATTATAAACTAGTATCATATGATCACTTTTTATGTAGTAAACTGTAAATATGATTCAACTCCAAAATTAGTTTGGGTTGTGCTTTATTTAGATCTCCAACTAGCACCACAATTAATAAACATGTTATATACTATGTAAATAATATTAATAAAATATGATGTAAAGACAAAAAATGTAATATCTAAGTTCTCCACTCGGGGTGTCACAATATAAGGGTAACTGATATAAATTTTAAAAGGAAAGAGCACAGACAAAGCCTTATTTTGTTTATATGAAGATATTTCTTTTATTTGCGTTACTTATTTAGTTGATTTGGGGCTTGTTTTAAAATGTTAATTTAGTTTTGTTATTTACATTAAATTTAAATTTTGTCATTTAGCAGATGCTTTTATCCAAAGCGATTTACAAATGAGGACAATAGAAGCAATCAAAACCAACAAAAGAGCAGTAATATGCAAGTGCTATATTAGTATATTATTATAGTGTTATATTTCAATTTCACAAAGAAACATGCAGCATTTTGTCCAAGCAATAATAAAAGGACACATTTATTTATAATTTGTCTTAAACCTCATTTTGTACAAAAAAAAAAAATCGTGAATCGAATCGTGAGTTAAGTGAATCGTTACATCCCTATGATACTGTGTTAATACTACACATTAAACAATAATATCAGATGAATATACTCCAACACAGTAGGTGGCGCTATTGCACCTTACCTCTGATGCCACCCATCGTAACAAAAATGAAAGATGATTATTACTGTCACAAAAAATACACGTCAGATAAGATTAAAGATGAAAGCAAGAGACTCTTTCGCAGCCGGAAAAACTTTGCTAGCCAATGAGCGAGTTTTTTTCATATTCCGTAAAAAAGAAGGGTGTCCGTTCACACGTAATGATGATAACTATAACGATAACTAAAAAGTTTTTTTAATTGTTCTAATTCTATATGAACAAAGACACATCACAATTATAATGATAACGACAGAGGAACGATATGTTCAGAACGATTTTTCCAGCAGATGAACGATTAAAACACTGACAGCCAATCAGAATCCATCCTGCTTTAAAGAGCTTGAGCATTTAAAGCGGCAGATGACAAAACTGCAGTGCGTGCTTATAATAAACAGCGTTATCGTGCGTTGGTGTGGACGCTAATATAGTTAACGTTACCGTTACAGTTATCGTTCTTGATGTGAACGGGGCTTTAAAGCGGCAGACGACAAAACTATCATCCGTTGGAGTGGACGTTAATATAGCTATCGTTATAGTTATTGTTTTAGTTATCTTAACGGTTATCATTCTTGGTGTGAATGGGGCTTTAAAGCGGCAGACGACAAAACTGCAGTGCACACTTATAATAAACAAAACGTTACTGTGCATTGGTGTGGCCGCTAATCGTTATAATTATCGTTATAGTTATCGTTCTTGGTATGAATTGACATTTACACACCTCAGTCTGCAGGAAGTGCTGATTAACAGTTCTTTTGAAGTGTTTGAACAGGTACGGTCATAAATTACAAACGTAGTTATGAATTTCACTAATAGCGAAATTAGCAAAATTTCTATAGATGTTGCGATAATATTGTTATCATGAATTCTATTGGCCAGGATAATCTTGTAGTGAAATTTTGATATCCTGACAGCCCTATCCTCCACTATAGTCATTTAAACATTCAAATAGAAAAGCTGCCTCGCTCATGTCCACATGTTTTGCATAAAGAAAATAAAGCCTATTTCTGAACCAATTTTAAGTATGCGTCCTGGTAGCATTTACTTGTTGTTGATAAATTATCCATATGTCGTCTGGTAAATATGTACGATGGAAACAATTACAAATGACCTTCACGCTGATATGACTCTCATTTGCTCTGAATATCTGAAGCGTAAAAGACGAATCGGACACGTTCTGCTGCCGACGGCCCGCTGTACACCTTTCATCGGTTTAATGTTTGAAAAAGGATACGTGAACACAGGTGTCTGTAACCAGACCGCACACTTTCCTTATACTCGGTGAAAGTGACGTCTGACACCTTCTTAAGGAGGAACGTCTGCTTTCACATTCACAGCCGAACGCATTTCTAATGCTGGCACTATGAGCGAGCTGAACAGGATGCTCATTCATGCAGGCACACAGTGAATGGTCAATGGTCACGGTGTTGATTTGGTTGTAAAATGGCTTGATGATTCACTATGAGGAGGTGGAAACGCCGAGAGCTACGGCGCGGGAGGGGAATTCAAAAATATATAGTGTTCTGCGTACTAGAGAAGTGCTGCAATATTTCTGGTACATACAGGAAATAAGTAATAAGTGGAAGCGCATACAAAAACAATGAATTTTCCCACAAGACACAAATCAGATGGCCATTTTAAGTGAATTTGATTGGGGTCTTTGACATTAAATTCAATAAACATTGACATTTTACAACTGACGTTAACGTTTTACAACTTTGATTTTTTTTACAAAGTTCATTTGTTTTTAAAATTTATTTTTAAAAATAATATATATATATATATATATTTCAGTATTTATGTATTTGCTTTGAAATGGCTTTTTATAGTTTCCAGAGGAACTATGAATTGATTGTAGCTAACTGAATTTAAAATGGACCGTCTGAAAGAACTGATTTGCTGACACGAATCAAACATGTTAAATCTTGTTAATGATGTTTAAATCAGATTCTAGGACTATTAAAATCTCTCATTCTGGTGAGCCGGGACAATTTAATGGTCAAACCAATAGTGAATAAAAATCTTTGCAATAATTGTACACTACTGTCAAAGCGCCGGGGTTGGTTTTTTAATGTTTCTGAAAGAAGTCTCTTCTGCTCACCAAGGCTGCATTGATTTGATCAGTAATACAGGAAAATCAGTAATATTGTGAAATATTATTATAAATTTAAAGAACTGTTTTCTATGTGAATGTATTGTAAAATGTAATATATTTCTTGTCTTGTCAGTCTTGTGTCACATGATCCTTCAGAAATCATTGAAAACAGTTGAGCTACTTCATATTTTTGTGGAAACTGATATTTTTCCCCAGGATCCTTTGTTGGATAGAAAGGTCAGAAGAATAGCATTTATTTGAAATAGTTTTTTTTTTTTCTTTTTCTGTCACTTATGACTAATTTAATGAGTTCTTGCTGAATAAAAGTATTAATTGTTCTTCAAAAAAATAAAATAAAAATCTTAAACTTTTCGTATGATATATTTTAAGTATTTGAATGCTGAACCACAATATATTCCAAGTGTCAGATCTTATTGAAGACGTGTCTTACCTTTCTTATACTTGTGAATTGGGAGTTTCTTCAGTTCTTGTCTTGTCAGTCTTGTGTCACATGATCCTTCAGAAATCATTGAAAACAGTTGAGCTACTTCATATTTTTGTGGAAACTGATATTTTTCCCCAGGATCCTTTGTTGGATAGAAAGGTCAGAAGAATAGCATTTATTTGAAATAGTTTTTTTTTTTTCTTTTTCTGTCACTTATGACTAATTTAATGAGTTCTTGCTGAATAAAAGTATTAATTGTTCTTCAAAAAAATAAAATAAAAATCTTAAACTTTTCGTATGATATATTTTAAGTATTTGAATGCTGAACCACAATATATTCCAAGTGTCAGATCTTATTGAAGACGTGTCTTACCTTTCTTATACTTGTGAATTGGGAGTTTCTTCAGCTGGTCCTTGCGTAAGCGACTTCTCCTGGCTCTATGTCTGTCCTGAACAAACTTTGTGATCTGAGATTGAAAAGATGTAAACAACTCAGTCAAGGCTAATATATTTGGTTGTTTGCTCATATTTTTTTAAATGACACACAATCATGACTCACCATGAAAACTACAATGAGGATGAGGCAGATTCCAACAATGATGAGGAATGGGATCAGATAATATTCCAGAGGCAAACTGAAGTCCGGCATGAGAATCACATGACCACTGAAAACACGAAGCAAGCCTGTGAGTGTGATGCTGCTTTTATACGACAGGACTTATAAACAGACTTTAATACTTAAAACTCATTATGTATGTATTATTTGTATTAAATACATGTATATTTTATTATATATAATTAAATAAATCAACATTTTAATTTAAGTCAGTAATGTTTGTGTGAACAGCAGACTTTTTATAGTGTCATATGACTTGGAGCGCCAGCGCAGCTGAATGCATCAGATGTTTCTGTTAAGTAACCATCTGAACAGTGAAGTATTCAGCAGTGAAATCAGAGCCCTCACCCTTTCCCATAGATGTAATCCTCTTTGAGAGAGTTGGCCACTTCTTCACCAATAAACACTGAAGGAATGTCTATCTGCTTCAGAATATCCACTGCAAAAAACGAAAAATACCAACGTACATTAACCAGATTTGATTCTGATTCACTTTGATTCTTCAAACAAATACATGTTAAATAATTATGAGTGTGTTTTGAAAAATGTAAAATAATATTTATTTTGAATGTATGCCCTTTTTTAAGGAATAGTTCACTCCAAATAAATAAAGGAATGAAAACTGCAAGTTTTATTTAACCCTCCTCCTCCCCAGCACCACCTGTCTAGTAGAGGTGTAACGATTCATCGATATGGATCGATACGATGTCTGACGATACGATGCATCGATGCCACGCGTAAAATATCGATATCTGTAGTATAAATAAGCACCTTTATTTTGGCACTGTCCACATTTTCACAAAATGTCCGTCTAAGCATCACCGCCAACGCGTGCATTCTCGTTCACATCTATAAAATGCTGTTAAATCTATTTTCAGTGTTGTCATGATTGAAATATGCAATTCTCGGTCAGAATTCATAAATACAGCATCGGTTATTAGCAACACAGGGGCCGAGGTTTGTGAATCACAGCATTGTCCCGCAGCAGAACACATGAGCGCGTGTCTCCGCTGCATGTTTTATGCATTCGTGCGCAGGAACTTACGATCATTGGATCCCATGCTGATTAAGTCATCAGAGTCCACATTGTGGACAATCGCCGCCTTGTAGCCGGCCTTCTGTGCATGGAGGACCTGAAGAAGGACGAGGACAGAGACAGTTCAGATAAACACAGGCGTCATGCATGCACTCCTCCAACCCCCACACACACAAGTCTTGTGTGACACATGTATTGTGTATTCACATGTACACACTGGTTTAGCTCAACAAGAACACGTCTGGATCAGAGTTCACCTCAAAATATAAAGAAATAAATATTAAAACATTTGTATGCTACATTAATAAATCTAATTACTGTAATGTAAAATTATTCGTATACAATTTTTGATAAAGCTTTTAAAATATTTTTATACAAAGTTGTCAAGTATAAAAATATTTTAAAAACTCAACTGTTTAACTCTAGGGGAGCTGGAAAATGAGCCTATTTTCAAAAATAGTGGAGTGCTCCTTTAAAGCTGTTCTAAATAAAATAAATAATTGTATTACAGTTTTTTTTACTCTAATACAGTAAAATTACTGTATTACAGTAATGAGAATCAACAATGAGAATAATGGGAAAATCACAGAAAACCTCAAAAGTGAAACATCTGGACACATTACAGTAATGATGATATCATCTGGCATGAAAATGTCACTTAATTGCTCTTAAAAATTATTTAATTTATGCAAAATAGGGTTAAAACATGATTATGTTATTATATTCATAAACTTTTCTCATTAAGGCATCAATTCTATTGTTTTGTAGAGTGCAAGTAAATGTTTTCAGAAATGTTGCAATAAAATTAGCTGAAATTAAAAAAACACTTACTGTACTCAACATTTACTATCATACATTTACAAAGAAAAAAAAACAAGGAGACATAATGCTAATAATTTCACAGGCCCATGAGTTGTATCACCAGTAAAAATATATATAAAAATAGAACCATTATGCCATAAAGTTTTTCTTTAAGGAACATTCACACCAACAGTGAACTTCAGTAAACTTGATCATTGCAGATATTTGCGCAGTAGTGAGGACAAAACACGAAAGAGCATCTGAGTGTGTGTCAGAAACATTTCAGCTCAGCCTGAGGTTGTTGTTTTTTGCTATCATTCGTTTTCAACAGCAGCCACTAATGGCAGAACTGAGACTTACAGGATCAGATCCTCACTTTTAAAATGCAACACAACCAAGACGCCTAAATCTACTCAAAATACATTCTAGTGCTGTAACACTGTATATATAAAGGTGTGTGTGCTCTCGTTAATGTGGTCTAGAGTGAGATTCCTGCTGTACTGATTAGTGAATGTTTGCACAAGCAGTGATAAACACATTCAAGACATTCCTCAGACAGGAGGATCACCGACATCTATCACACTCACCTCACGTGAAGCTCACAGAAATAACAATATATATCTATCAATATATATGGTTATATCTGGGCAATATATCTATCAGCTATAGATATAATATCATCACGTGAACTAACTATCATAATGGACTCAATTAGAAAATATGTTCCACATTATGTTATGCTTTTGTTTCTCTACACATCTTAAACAGGTGCACAAATTCCACAGCGCTGTCGATGATTAACGGTTTATTGTGGTATAGGAAAAATATTGTGAACGCAGTGCCACAGGCGTTACACGGAGCTGTTTGGAAGTCGTCCAAAGTCCCAGAGATGAACAGAAACTGCAGGCAGACCTCTTGCAGCATGAAACGTGTGCGCAGCGAAGTGTGTCTTGGAGAGCGGGGGCTGATTTTGCATTTAGGAGCGCATTTGCGTACTTGGACAGAGGCGTTTCTATGTTACCCGTGTTTGTAGTTTTAGTAGTAGGAGGAGGACATGTTTAAAATACATTAGGAATTAAAAATGCATTTTATAATTTATAAAATACGTAATTAAAAATATTTAGTATTTTTTGTAATAATTGATTTTTTTTATCGTATTATGTATTATATAATTCTAATAAATAGTTTATAACTGATAAAAATGATACAACTGACACACTATAACATTTAAAAATATTTAATGTTTAATATTTTATTTTTATATTATATTTATAATAAATTGTTTATTATTGATAAAATGTATTTTTATGATTGATAAAAATTCTATAATTTACAAAATAATTATAAAAAATATCATATTTTAAAAAGTAATATTTTAATAAGATTTTTATTTTTTTAAATGTATTACGTATTATATAACTTACAATCAACTGTTTATAATTTATCAAATGTAATTTAAATTTACAAAATGTTAATTTATAATAAATACAAGTTATACATTCATTTTTTATAAATTATATATTTTCTATAAATTATATTTTGTAAAAAAAAATACAAATATAAAATTATATAATATATAAATATATATAATTATATATACCGTATTGGCCCGAATATAAGACGACCCTGATTATAAGACGACCCCCCT